TTTCTTTCTTTCTTTCTTTCTTTCTTTCTTTCTTTCTTTCTTTCTTTCTTTCTTTCTTTCTTTTCTTTCTTTCTTTTTTTTATTTTTTTGGTGAGGCAATTGGGGTTTAGTGACTTGCCCAGGGTCTCACAGCTAGTAAATGTCAAGTGTCTGAGACCGAATTTGAACTCAGGTCCTCCTGATTCCAGGGCCAGTGCTCTATCCACTGCGTCACCTAGCTGCCCCATGTTGTTTTCTTTTAATACACAAAAATTTATCTGTCCCTGTCTTTGGGGTCCAGTGCCAAGCTGAGGAAGCCTGGTCCTGATTTGTTAAGCAATTGACATACGTTGCTTAATAAACTGATATGCTCTGAAGCTCAAACCTTGGTTTCCTCAACTATTTCAGATTTTACCCATCACATACATAATCTTCTGAAAAGAGGAAAAATTCTAGGACAAGGGTGGGGAACTGGTGACCTCAAGGTCACATGTGGCCTTCTAGGTCCTTGGGTGCAGCTTTCTGACTGAGTCCAAGTTTTATAGAACAAATACTTTTAAGGGGGTTTGTTCTGTAAAGTTTGGATTCAGCCAAAGGGCTGCACTTGAGGACCTAGAGGACCACATGTGACCTCCAGGTCACAGGTCCCCTACCCTTGCTCTAGGATAACAGATTTAGAGCTAGAGGGGAATCTTAGAGGAAATAAAATCCAGTACCTTTGTTGATGAGGAATCCTTGAGGGCCATAGGGACTATGCCATATTTCATCTTTATGTTACGAACAAAAGGAAGAGTGGTAGAGGGGATAGAGAATTGACTTTAGAACCAAGAACACCTAGGTTCAAGTCTCACTTATGACAAATGCTGGCTGTATGATCCTGGGTAATAGACACTTAATCTCTCAGGGCTCGAGACAATTCCCCAGGATCAAGCTATAGAGAAGGTTCTACTCTGAATCGGTAGAGGGGGTTTCCTCGGAAACACCTTCTGGCAATGAAGTCACAGGTCTGGTCTGAAAATATACATTTAGCATACACACGCGCACACACACACACACACACATATATACATATATTCATATATGTATATTATGTATAATTAGAACCACTCCAGTATCTTTGCCAAGAAAACCCCAAATGGGGTCACGAAGAGTCAGACATGACTGAAATCTACTGAACAACAACAAATGTATAATTAGACAGTAACCTTTAAAGTAGAGATTTTTTCGTTCTTTGTATTCCTATCCCCAGAGTCTGGCAAATAAGATTAGGAATAGACTTGTGATTTCACTGATGTAGGAATTTCCCTCTACCAATGTAGGCAGGCACCTTCTCAGCAATTTGTTGTCTTAGAGGGTTGCCTCAAACACTGAATGGGTGTTGCCTCGGTCAGACTGAGACCTGGGAAAGACCTTAGCTTAAAAAGGTCAAGGTCAACCACTATATTCAGGGCCATCTCCAGTCGTCTTGATCTATATCTGGCCACTGGACCCAGATGGCTTGGGAGGAGAAAGTGAGGCCAGTAACCTTGCACAGCCCTCCCTCGCTTAAATTCAATTCACTTACAAGTCATGACATCACCTTCCTGATGTCATGGTCCTCTTAGACAACCAAGGACAAATAAAGAAAATCAGTGTGTCAATGTGCTAGATGCTGCAAAAAACACTCCAAAAAAAAAAAAAAAAACTGCTCCACTATAGCAGGTGACTTGAAAACAATTGGGCACATATGAGATAAATATTGAGTAGATGGGTGGTAATTGGAAAAGGAAGGCATTAGAAGTCAGGAGGTCTGGGAAAGGCCTGCTGCAGAAGGGAGGATTTTATCTGAACTTTGAAGGGAAATTAAGAGGTAGGGGTGAGGAGAGATGCATTCCAAGTGTTAGAGACAACCAGTGCAGAAAGCATTGGAGGAACCATTGTGAAGCCAATGTAGATGGCTCCTAGAAAGAACCAAATTGTAAATAAGAAGACTGGAGAGGTAGAAGGGGCCTGATTATGAAGAGCTTGAAATGCCAAACAGCGGAGTTTGTTTTTGATCCTGAAGGTGGTGGGGAGCCGTTGAGGTTCATAGAATAAGGGGGTGACATGGTCAGACCTCTACTTTAGAAAATCACCCTGGAAGCTGAGTGGAAGGTGGACTGGAATGGAGAGAGACTTGAGGTAGGATCTTGAGTGAGAAGGCTATTCATTTCTAATGAATCTGGAAATTTCCCTTCTGCAGAGACCCCGAAGGGATTTCACAGACTTGGCCAAGCTGTCCCCACCACCACACCCTGACTCCAGCCCCAGCCCTGCAGCCCCAGAAGAAATGCAGCTTCTTAAAGGAAAGCCAAGGCTTCCATCCCCAGCAAGGCCCAAGTGGTGCAGCTGTGGACAGTGCCGCCCATCCCAACTGCCAGAAAGCAGCAAGGTCATAGAGGAGCTCTGCTGCCGCAAGAAGGAGGGTCCCTGCATCACCACCTCAGCCCTTTTTGAGGAGCTGGTCCTCTCCAGGGCCACCCTGCGCTTCAGCTTGCTCTACCAAGAGCCCTTGCTGGAGATGGATGCAGACGCCTTGAATGACCAGCTCCGTCACTGTGCCTACAGGCGCTACGTTGACTGGCGCTTTGGCTCCGAGGACATGGCCGCCTTTGCTATTCTGCCCAGCTGCTGCCGGTGGAAGATCCGGGAACGATTTCCCAAGAAGGATGGAAAGTACGCTGGCTTTAAGAACCCTTCCCCATACACATATTTGAATTAACAAAGCCACTAAAATTGGTTCCTTTCATCTTTAACCTTCTTGAGCTTCTGGGAGAAAGATCTGAGAGGTCCACCTTGGAGTATAGAAACCTCCTTTCTTGCCTTGAACCTCTGCAGGTATAGGGAGGGAGCAGCCTGACCTAGGAGAAAGAAGTCTGGTGGAAAGCCTGAGCTCCCTCTAGGAAGGTAACTCCCCACCAGCCAGGCACTTAGCCTTAGTGCCTCAGTTTCTTCATCTGGGAAATTATAACAAAAACCTGCCCTGCCAATCCAAAGAGACCTTTTGAGGATAAAATAAGACTCTATAAATGAAAATGTTTTGGAAAAGGTTAAATGTGCCATAAAAGCGTGCACTATTGTTATTCTGTAAGAATAGGAATGGTAACCAACACGGAGTCCGAATAATGTAGGTCTAAGTACTGAATCCTGGGTTCATAGATTTAGAGACTATCCTCCAGGTTAGATCCTTTGATTCCATCTCTAGAATGAATGAAGGGAGAAGCATTTATTAAGCACTCACTGTGTGCTAAGTGCTAGGGATACAAATACCAGAAAAAAAGAGTTTTTGAGAAACTTACATTCTAATTAGGAAGACCACACAAATCGGGAGTAGGAAATGAAGGGACATGCACGCACTGTGCCAGGGCTGGAAATGGCCAGGAAGTATGCCCTGTTCCAGGCAAAATCAGGCAAAAGTTCACCTATCTAAGCCTGGAATTCTACAGGCGGAGTCTGAGTTTGGTAGAAGGGTGATGAAGAAGATGGTCAGGGTACAGGAGGCGTAATTTGGAAATGACTAGGAGGTAACCAACCATCTCTCCTCTCTGTTCCCTCACCTCCACTCTCATGGCCACCCCACCTCATTTAGACCCTCATCACCGTGCCCCTGGACTATACCAATAGCTTCTTAATCAACCTCCAGTCTCTCTTCACTCCAATCTATACTCTACACAGTTAACAATTTGAGATTCTTAAAGTATAGCTCTGATCATGTCATTTCCCTCTAGGATAGTGGTTTCCAATTTTTTTTTGTTTTGTGAACCCCTTTTTTTAACAACAAAAAATGGGTTGTGAGCCCCTGGGGTAATTTAATACAGTGCTCATAATACTCTTTACAATTATTTACTGCTTAAGTCATGGAGCATCATTGCAAACTTCTAAGGTATTCCCCAACTATTCAATGGAAACTACTGTCCTAGGATCATGTGTGAACTCCTCTGGCCTTTAAACCCTTCACAATCGATTTCAACCTATCTTCCCAGATTTAATCTCTCTCTCTCTCTCTCTCTCTCATCGGGGTTAAGTGACTTACCTAGGATCACACAACTAATAAGTCTGAGGTTGGATTTGAACTCAGGTCCTCTTGACTCCAGGACCTACACTCTATCCACTGTGCCACCTAGCTGCCTCTAGACTCAATTCTTCCTTCCTTTCTATCCTCCACTCTTACATTCCAGCCAGACTGGCCTTTTTACTGTTCTGAAGGAGTCATTTTGTCTTCTGCCTTAGCAAGTCTGTCCCCCACATCTGGCATGCTCTCTCTGACTCTTGTGTCACCTTCAAAGTTCAATTCAGATGCCACCATCTATAGGAGACCTCTCTTGATAATCACCACCCACCCACCCTCAGTCGTTAGTCCTACCCCACTAATGAGACTTAGTCTTCCATTGCCATATGCATGCTGTTACCTTCAGTAGAATATAATCCCCTCGAGATCGGGGACAGCTTTCATATTTGTCCTTGCATCCCTGGTGCCTAGAAGAGTACCTGACACATGTGCTTAATAAATTCTTTTTCAATTGTTGAATTGAATCAAGTTGAAAGAGACAGGGAGCTTTGAAGTCATCTGGTCCAAGCTCTTTATTTTACAGATTAGGAAACTGAGGACCAGAGAGTCGAAGTGACTTATTTAAGATCACATGAGTAGTAAGTGGTCAAGCTAGATCCCGTGACTCTAAATTGGGCACTCTTTCTAAGGACTGAGTCCTTGGTAAGTAATATGACCTACGGTTTCTTCAGACGATTGTAGGATCCGTCGGTGAATCAGTCAACAAATATTTATTAAGTGCCTACTATTCGCTAGGAAAGAAAAGAGAGGCAAGATAGTCCCTGTCCTCAAGGAGCTCACAGCCTAATGGATGACAGATCCAGAGTTAAAAGCAACCTCAGAGCCTCAGAGCCTTTCTAGTCTTATCCTTTCATTTTACAGATAGGGAAACTGAGGCTTAAGATAGTTAAATGACTTGCCCAAGGTCACACAGTTTTCAGTGTCAGATGAGAGATTTGAACCTACATCTACTGGTTCCATGCTCAACGCTCTTTCCAATGTGTGCTGCCTGCTTTTGGTTCCTCATTAATAAGTAGCATGACCCATAATTTCTCCAGAGACTCAGGTCTCACCACCTCAAGCTTGGCCAAGATCATGGGGGAAGACTGTCTCTAGGCATTTTCCTTTTCCGTGTTAGTTCTAGAGTCCCCCAAGGGTTTGAATTTCTTCTCAGTATTTCCAGTCTAGCCCTTTGTGGCTCACTCTTGAAATACCTCAAATAAAAAAGCCTTCCCATTGGGTTTCTCCAGTTCAATAGTACACATCTGTGAAGGAGAGAGTGTGTTGTTTCCAAGGTCTAGAAACCCTCCCTCTGTGCCTTTGCAACCAAGCAGAATTACTACAGTAGAAAGAAGTCCAAACATTCCTGAGAAAAAAAAAAAATAGACTGTTTCCACAAAAAGTCTTCTTGAAGGCTGGCTACTTAAAGAATGGGGAAAATACATAGCCCCAAACTCCATCTGATCTCAAGATCCCTCCTGCAAGGTTTCTTTGCACCAAGGTTGATAGTAGAATGATTTTTTTTAACTTGTATTGGCAGTGTGGTATATTGGATAGAATGCTGAGCTTGGAGGGAGGAGGGCTTGGATTAAAATCCTGCCTCTGATGCTTACCAGTTGTGTAACCCAGAACAAGTCATTTAGCTTCAATTTCCTCATCTGCAAAATGGAGATGGGGATGGACCTGATGGCTTCTGAGATTGATTCCATCTTCATGTCTATGATCTTATATGTCCTTTGTACAGTAGTATGTTTAAAGAAATACTGACCGCCCTCATGGCTCTCGAGATGAGAATATATAAGGTCCGATGTAGACATAACTGTGATCGGGGACCTGTGATTGAATCTTGTCTGAGTTTCAAGATGCACCATTTTAAAATGTCTTTTTTTTTATTCCAAAAATACATTTTTGGAATGACTTTTGTTTCTGCAGTCCTCTCCAGACATAGTTTCCTTCCTGCCACTACACTCAAAGAATGATCTCTCCCTTGTAACAAAGATAATGAGTGAAGCCAAATCAATGAAAATAGCGTCCATGACCATGGATAGCTTTTTAAAATGAGCAGCTTTGCATTTTAATAATAAAAAGCATGGTGAATGAGCCTTTCGTGAATAGGATTTTATCTGGATTCAAACTCAGGAATTAAACTGATTGGGCCAGATTCTCTTGGAGAATGAGACACTATGAGCCTACTTTTTTTTTTATTGTTGTTCTGTGATATTTTTGGAAACTGGACTGTATTTGGCTTCATGGGAATGGAAATTATTTGCTCTATGAAGTCTGCTGTCTTATTCTCCTATGTCTGTATCCAAATGGCCCCAGAGTAGAAAGTGCCAGAACTTCATCTCCATGTAATTTCTTTTTTCTATATTTATTTTATTTTACATTTTGAGTTCCAAGTGGTCCCCGTTCCTCCCTTCCAACCCCACATTAGAGAAGGCCAACATTCGATATAGATATAGATATGGAACCTTACAATACATTCTTCTACATATCAGTTCTTTCTCTGGAGGTGGATAACATTTTTCTTCATAAGTCTTTCATAGTTGATATGAATGATCATTGTTACTCAGAATAGTTTAGTTACTCACAGTAACTCTTCTAACAATATGGTTGTTATTAATACAGTGTTCTTTTGGTTCTGCTCATTTCACTCTTCATTATTTCATGCAACACTCAACATTATTTCATGTTTTTCTAAAAACAACCTGTTCGTAATTTCTTACAGCACAGCGGTATTCCATCACAATCATATACCACAACTTATTCAGCCATTCCCCAATTGATGGGCATCCCCTCAATTTCCAGTTCTTTGCCACCACAAAAGAGCTGCTATAAATATTTCAGAACATATAATTTCTTTTCCTTTTTTCCTGATTACCTTGGGAAACAGACTTAATGGTGGTATTGGTGGGTCAAAAGGTATACACAGTTTTATAACTCTTTTGACATAATTCCAGATTGCTCTCTAAAATCGCTGGATGAGTTTACAGTTTCACCAACAGTGTATCAGCGTCCCAATTTTTCCACATCCCCTCCAACATTTGTTATTCCCCCCTTTATTAGCCCATCTGATAGGTATGAGATGGTATCTCAATGTTTTAATTTGCATTTCTCTAATCAGTCCTGATTTAGAGCATTTTTTCATATATCTATATATGTATATGTATGTATACATATTGATTTCTTCTTCCAAAAATTGTCTGTTCATTTCCTTTGACTATTTGTCAATGAGGGAATGACTCATATTCTTATGCCTTTGTCTCAGTTATCTATGTATTCGAGATGAGGCCTTTATCTGAGAAATTGTCTATAAAATCCACCCCCCTCCTCCGATTTTCTGCTTTCCTTCTAATCTTGGTTACATTGGTCTTATTTGTACAAACCTTTTTAATTTAATGTAATCAATATTATCTACTTTACATCCCATAATGCTTTCCATCTCATTTATTCATGAATTCTTGTCATCATAAATCTGATAGGTAATATGTTCCATAGTCTTGTAATTATGACATCTCCCTTTACGTCTAGGTCATGTATCCATTTTGACCTTATCTTGGTAAATGGTGTAAGACATTGGTCTATACCTAGTTTCTGCCAGACTGCTTTCCAGTTTTCCCAGCAATTCTTACCAAATAGTGTGTTCTTATCCCAAAAGCTTATATCTTTATGTTTATCAAACACAAGATTACTATAATCATTTATTACTTTGTATTGTATACCTACTCTATTCCACTGATCCACTATTTTATTTCTTAGCCAGTACCAAATAGTTTTGATACTTACCACCTTGTAACACAGTTGAAGATCTGATATTGTCCAACCTTCTTCCTTTACATTTTTTCCCCATTAATTCCTTTGATATTCTTGACCTTCTGTTTTTCCAAATGAATTTTGCTACTATTTTTTTCTAGATCAATAAAATAATTTTTGGTAGCTTAATTTGGATGGCACTGAATAAGTAGATAAGTTTGAGTAGAATTGTCATTTTTATTATATTGTCTTAGCCTACCCATGCACAATTAACATTTCTCTAATGATTTAAATCTGATTTTATTTTTATAAAAAGTGTTTTATAATTATGTTTACATGGTTCCTGGATGTGTCTTGGTAGCTATACTCACAGGTTTTATATTATTTGTGATTATTTTAAATGAAACGTATGTCTTCTTGCAGGACTTTCTTGGTGATATATAGAAATGCTGATGACTTCTAGTGGTTTATTTTATGGCCTGCCACTTTGCTAAAATTATTAATTGTTGCCTCAGACACTTGACACTTCCTACCTGTGTGACCCTGGGCAAGTCGCTTAACCCCAATTGCCTCACCGAAAAAAAAAATAATTAGTTGTTTTAATTAATTTTTAGTTGAATCTCTAGGATTTTTCAAGTATACCGTCATGTTGTCTGCAAAAAGAGATAATTTCATTTCCTCATTGCCCATTCTGATTCCTTTGATTTCTTTTTCTTCTCTTATTGCTATTGATAGCATTTCTAATACAATACTGAATAATTTTGGTGATGATAGGCATCCTTGTTTCAGTCCTGATCTTATTGGGAAGGCTTCTAGCTTATTCATGTTACTGATAATGTTTGCTGTTGGGTTTTGCTATATTCTTTTTATCATTTTAAGGAAAAATCCATTTATACCTATGTTTTAAAGAGTTTTTTTTTAAATAGAAATGAGTATTGCATTTTGTCGAAAGCCTTTTCTGCATCTTTTAATATAATCAAATGATTTTGTCACTTTGTCATTGATGTAATCAATTGTTAATATTTTCATTCAATTCCACTAATATTTCATATTGAATTTCATCCAATTATGTTAATATTTCATGTTGAACCAGCCTTGCATTCCTGATATAAATCCTACTTGGTCATCTCCATGTAATCTCCCAGTTTGTTTCTATCGTGCCATCTAATCCATAATCCACTATGAACGACTCAGAAATACTCCATCAAGCCGGCTGGTCATCCTCACCCTCTCCACTGGTGCCACGATATGTGATTGCAGCCATCTGTGCTAGACGGCCTACTCTTCCTCCCAGATGAATGAATCCTGCTCAAAAGTGTGCTTTTAATAATGCCGTTGCTGGTCATAGTCTAGGAAACTCACAGCCTCCATTTTGTGGGGACCATAAATCAGGCTCAAACCCATCCTCTGGATGATGTAAACTGGATTTTATTAATGACTTCCCCTGCTCAGTATCTGATCTGTTACTGTTACATCAGCACTGATACATTCCTGGTTTCATTTAGCCATGGGTATGGCAATGCACTTGTCGCTTTTCTCATTAGGGGAAAGCACCTTTTAAAAAATAAATTTTATTGGTATCTTTTGTTTTTACATCACCTCCATCTCTCTCCCCTTACAATAAAAGGGGGGGGAAGAGAAAAACAAACTATTCAGCAAGTCTGACTATAAAAACATACCCACTAAGGTGTCTTTTTCTTTCTTTTTAAAATTAAGAAATAATATTAAGGGAGAGGTCTGGTCAGAAGCCCTTGGTCTCACCTAAATGGAATTTTTTTTTTTTTATTGCTGGTGGCTTCTGGATTAATTTTTGTGCAGTTATGGGTTAGAAGTCACTTATCTGTAGTTTCTAATTTGATTTCTTTTTTTTCAATTAATAGTATTTTATTTTTCCCATTACATGTAAAGATAGTTTTCAATATTTTAAATTTTATAAGATTTTGAGTTCCAAATTTTTTTTCTCTCTCCATCCCTCCCTTTTGCCCCTACCCAAGATGGTATACAATCTGATATAGGCTACACATGTACAATCATATTAAACATTTCCACATTAATCATGTTGTGAAAGAAGAATCAGAACAAAAGGGGAAAACCATGAGAAAGAGAAAGAAAGAGAGAGGCAGGGAGGGAGAGAGAGAGAGAGAGAGAGAGAGAGAGAGAGAGAGAGAGAGAGAG